CACGTTGTTCGGGCAAGCGATGTACGCCGTCAATACATTCCGAGACATCGCTCACGTGGTGTGGAATGTCGGCTGGAACCGAAAATGATTGCTTATGTGCTTGGACTTATTTAGGCGGAAAATTTGAGCGATAATACTCACAGCAGCATAGCGCGGCGTTTTGGGATTTTGCACAGCTACGAATCTAATACGACAGCGAGTTACGACTGCCTGATGTGCGGTGGACAGTGCGGCTCTCAACTTCACCACTCGTGCAAGAGTGGTCGACAAGTACAAGAAACTCGGAAGGAACAGGAATATTTGCTGAAGGGTAACCTTGTACATACGAGAACCAGGATCAGGAACTTGGGTCGGATGAATTCGGGCAAGGCTGGAAATGGATTGGATGTCTCGCGAAATGTAGACGGTTTACCTATAGAAGAGATGGACAATCAAGTGGACTACAGGAACGTCCTTCTCGGCGCGACTCGGCGAACTTTTTGCACGCCAGACATGGAGTCGGATCCGATTGCAGACTCGCTTGAGAGGATTCTGTGGCGAGACTGATCAACTGCTCAGATAGCCTGTGGGCCCTCCAAGTGTTCTGGGTCAACGACAAAGGCCTCCGGGTTTCCCCAGAGATCAAATGCCATGCATAAGGTACGGGATGAGGCGGCGCCGAAGAAGCTGGGTCGCTATCCACGCCTCCGGAGAAAAAAGAATATCACATGTGATGCCGCCGAGTCCAGATGGAAGACATTGAACCTCATTCGCATGTTACGATTCTGTCTCATGCTCCGATTGAATTTTTTGCATCCTTGCCTGCCTGCATATGGCATTCGCAGCCATTGCCCGTCTGTCTCCTCCAGTCTGCTTGAACTCGCCGATCCCAGCGTCATGTATGTAGACGCATTACGCCATCGACGCCGTTGACCTCACCGCCCCGTCGAGCGCACCAAGCGTGCTTTGGGACGTTCAACGCACGATCAACGCACGAAATGATAACATGTTTCGCCGTTTCGCCGTTTCTCCCTTCTTGACGTGTTGACCCGCACCTCCAGTCGTTGATCAAAAGCATGCCTAGGTACGAAGGATACAGTATGCGAACCATACGAGTAACGAGAAGGTGCTGTTCTGTTCGCGTCGCCATCCGCTGAGCCCACTCCTCATCCACTCCTCTACCTATCGATCAGACCCATCATAACGTACTGGTAACTCGTACTCTACACTGTAATGTGCGTATTATTGGAGGGATGAAATTTTGTTTTCTGTTTCCCTTTGATGAGCCCTGCCGACCGACCGACCACCCGCCCCAGCCCTGCTGCCTCGCCGCCGCCCCTTGTGTTACTGTACGAGTAGTGTACGTCCCAGTTTTTGCGGGGAAGACATGGATGCATACCGCCGTGACCGCGTCCGAGTAGCGAGAGGGGAGGGCTTTTTTAAAGTTTGGACAGCTGGCATTGTTGCACGGCACACATAGCACACATAGCACACATAGCACACATAGCACACATAGCACACATAGCACACATAGCACACATAGCACACATAGCACACATAGCACA